TCAGGAGGTATTGGTGCAGTTGCATCATAAATGAGAAAAGAAAAGAACCAGAAAAATTCAGTGTGTTCTCTAATTTCCAGTGCAAAGTGGAAATGGTGAATAGGATACTTTCGGAATCTTATGGAAAATAAAAAATGTTTATGTTTATGTTATGTTTATGTTTCAACACTACGATGAAAGGTCAGAAGTAAACTTGCATGTTCTGAGCATCTTTTACAGTATTTATATAAAATCTTTCTGATCATTATTTGTGTTTTTTTTTTACACTTTGTTAGAATAACTTCCAAAGTTGAAATGGAATCTGTTTGGTGTCTTACTACCAAAATAAAGTGGGTAAAAATTTTGAGTAGTTATTTTTTTTTTCAAAATGAGTATAATGCTGACTTTTTTTCCCTCGTTGTTATGTCTATTTTACTTTATTTACTTTTACCATAGAGACACATCTCAACTATTTGGTAGAAGGTAGTAATTAAAAAACTATGAAGTGTGTATAAAAATATATATATTGATTGTGATCATTATTCACTAGAGGGAATAGAAAATACAAACAAAAATTTTTTTCACTAGGTTTTTCTTGGTGGGGCAGTCAAAGGGTTTTAAAAACACTGTTCATTTATTGGTCGGATAAAATATGCAAATTTTTTGAGATAGGAATTTTGGGTTTTCATGAGCTGTATGCCAAAATCATCAATATTAGAAACAATGAAAGGCTTGAGCTACTTCAGTTGTGTGTAATGAATCTAATATATATGAAAGTCTAATGTGTATCAGTACATTACAGACAATAATGAATTTTATCACAATATGCAAATTTTTTCAGAAGGACCTGTATTTTGAGGTGTAGTTCTAATTAATTAATTATAGTTAGAATCTATGAAATGAAAGGTTTTATCGCACTTTGTTAAATTAGCTTATTTTTGAGTGAATAATAGCTGTTAGTTGTTATTATCACATGAGGAGATACCCCGTTTAGACACCGTGTAGATTTTCATAGGTGCATTTAAAGTTAATTGGCATTCAAGCAAAATCTCTCAGTAGTTAACTCACACCTCAAAATCATTTTGGATCACACAGTTTTGGTATTCAAGCTGTGAAAGTCTGTTTTGTCGTTCCAGACCACCTGTTTGGATGATTAAAAGTCTTTGTGTCGCTTTCATCCCAAATGCTATTGGTATGCTTTACGGCGCTCAGCTTTCTGAATGAGTTTCTTGCAGTAAACTGGCACATTTGCAGCTTGCATATTTTCACCTGGCATGAATGTTCCATTCCTCTACTCTGTAATTGTGATTTATTTCCTTTTCTCAGGTGTAACATTCTTCCTGTGGGTCGGTGTTGGCCTCCTGACTGCAGAACATTGTAAATGTCAGCGTAGACAGAGTAGAAGCATATAGACAAATGATTTGCATTTTCTTTTTCAGAGCGGCCTTGCTGGGATAAAAAAGTGACTTTTAGAAACTTTAGATTGAGTTGATCCAAACCCAAGCAGATCAGAAACAACTGTGACTCATTCCTACAGGAAAGTTCTCAAAGTTTTGCACAAAGAATAAAATCCTCTCATCTAAAAACGTCATTGTGAAAAGCTCTCAGGATGAGTCGCTGAAAGGCCATCACCTGTTTCTGAGCAGCTCTCCTGCAGAGTTTTTATTTCCCTTTTACATTATTTCAGATCCATACTTTTGTGACCAGCTGGCATATATTTTTTTAAAATCCTCCTGGACCAGAAAATGCTTTTTTACTGCTGCTGGCATCTATAATGGAGCGCGGATGAGAGATATGCTCAGAGCTTAGAGACGGAAATTAAATCAATCAGTTCTTTGGGTGCACTGATGAAGCTGTCAGCTGTCATTATAAAAATGTCTACATTGTTTACTCATCTGTTTGTCAAGGTGCAAGCGAACTAGCGAGCTCTTAAAGGTTCTGTAGAAGATTCTTGTTTTGATTGCGAGAAAATCAAAGGAAACGCACTCACCTACAAATCCAAAGAGATCAATGGTGGGGAAATATTTGTGCCGTGATGATGTGTTTTATTAACCAGAGTGAAAACCCTCTTACTAATTTTCAGCTGATTAGCTTGTCCCTTTGTGGAGAACAGTGACATCGGTGACTGTCACACTGATGAACAAAATGTTGTCCAGATTATCTGCAGACTTTGTCCCAAAAGGTGAGTTGTTTTTCAGTCACGTGGAGTTTTTCTTTGAATAAATCACAATGACAAAGCATCCGTGGCATAATGGAGGAGGAAAAAAACAGGACTAGGCTGGAGAATAGAAATGGCTTCAAATCAGGTTGGTTTCCAAGGTTGCAGAAATACAAACATAATATCCTACTCCGTCAAACGTACCTTCCTCACGATCTGATTAACAAACATACTTTTTTGTATTCTTTTTTTCAACAAAGTCTTCAGTATGTTTTAATTACATTTCCTCTGATTTTATGTTTTATTTTCTTTGCAGCATTAGCAGGAAAACGTACCAACTTACTTACCTGTAGTTTAGAGCTGCATACCTTTATGATGACATAAATATTACAAAAACACCAATCTGGTCCTGTTGCAAAGTAACAATTATTCTAAAATGATTTTATTATTTGTATTTTTACATAAATAGATAATTAGATATTTGTTCTTCAACATACTTAATTGCAACGTTCACATTTTAAACGGTTGGCCCTGATTGTTAAAGAAGGGGTTTTGAATTTTATTGTTTTTGATAATTAGTGAAAAGATCAATCTACCTATAAATATTAAATGTGGATTGTTGGTGTGTTACCAACTGCAGCCCTGGTTATTAAAGGTGTGGAACACTAAAAATCCATTTTTAATGGTAATTTTGGATTATAATCGGTCACACTGAGTTTTTCATGCACATGAAAATAGTCTCCTACACCTATCTGCTGCATTAGCTTTGGATAGAAAATAGACAGTTAGACATTAGGATTTGAAAATCCTGACATATCTACGCCACACTTAACATTTGTGGACTCACCCATCTTGTGTCCATGAATGTTTGCACTGAACTGGGCAAAAGTTTGTTCACTCTGCGTCTTTTGCATGGAACAGGCTGCAGGAAATCTGGAAATTAACCGAGTTGATCTCCTTGAATACATTTAAAACCAGACTGGGAGTCCTTGGAATAAATACTCTGAGTTTTAACTGCCTTCTGTAATTTTGTACATACCATGTCTGTGTAACTGAAAAATTGTAACTGTAACTTTTGCTGCCACTTGACCAGGACTCCCTTGAAAATGAGGTTGTTAGATAGGTCCACAGCTACAGTGGTCTGGTCCAGTCCTTTTCTTCAATGGTAGTCTGCAACCCTTATGCAGGCAGCCTGGAAATTGACTTTTTTTTTCTTTTCAGAACTTTATTGAACAAACTAACAGTGTACAAAAATCACAAAATGGATACAAAGTTAAACACAAAACATGTGCAGGGGTACAAAAATATCAAATACGTTATATGTAGTACAAATATGAATTGTTTTTAAAGCCTTTTTGTTAAAAGATCCATTAATCAATGTTGTATAAGGCTTGAGTGGGAACTGAGAAACTGACTGTTGTTTAGTTTCTGCTTTCACTTTTCTCTCTTCAAACCTCCAACACACACACACACACACACACACACACACACACACACACACACACACACACACACACACTGGTGAAGTGGGTGGGGAAAATTTATTTTCATAATGAGCCTTTTTATGCATGTTTTAGTTAACCATTTCTTGGGGCTCCTGGACATTTTAAGCTCCATATGCTTTATAGAGCCTCAAATATCAGTTTTAGATTACTGATTAACTGCATTCTAGGTCCTCTATAAAAGTCTCTCATGATCATTTTATGACAGTCTACATTAAAGTAGACTCCATTTGCTGGGTAATGCATCATTGTGACTTTTTATGTGATTCACGTTACATGGTAAACATACAAGTTGTCACACATGGACCAAAAACCTTTATCACTCTTTCTCACATTTTTACACTTTTAATAGTAAAAGCAAAATCCAGATGTGTTATCTCTGTTAGAACATTTTATTTTAAACTTGGAACCAAAACAACTCCGAGCATTTTATTTGTTTCGTTATTTTAGAACAATTTCTCTTCTGCAAAACCTGCACTGTCATCATTCTGGCTTTTAGTTTTATTCTCAGTTTCTTGTTGACATTTATGTCTGGGTTCTGGCCATTTTATCTGTGTTTCACATTTGTCTTTTGCACTCGCCAAAGCTACCTTTTGCTGCAGGTTGCTGATATTTTCACGAAACCACCTTGTTGAATTTGTGCAGGTCTCCATGGGCACCCACCAATATGGCAAATTGAATTGTTTGAACATGGATTGTGTTTGGTGAAAGAAAGGGTGCTCTGCATTAAGCTGAAAGAGAACTACATTAAAATTCTGGAAGGAAAACACAGAGGGATCGCCTTGAATGGAGTTGTGCAGATGCACACGAACCTTATTCAGAAGACAAATTAAAACTCAAGGTAGAATCAAAACTTTCTTACCTCAAGTGCATGGAGAATGTTGCAGAAGATTGGTAATTTAAATTCCAAGGGGGGAAAAACAAACAAATACAAACTGGTAACAGGATATATTTATAATGAAAACAAAATTCTAAGAAGAATTTTTACTTTCAGTATGTAATGTTTGGTTGTTTAAATGAATCAAATGCATCAATGTTCAAATAAAGCATCAGAGGTTTAGCAGAGGTTTATTTACCACAGAAACTGTATTATAAAATAGGACTCAGTACAATAAATCTGGGGGGTGATGTGTTGTAAATTATGTAATCCGTCACTGTTGATGTGCATGAAAGGAGCCAGATTATTCCAGATTAGAGCGTTGATTTTAATGGCTGCTCCTCTGTAGAGGAGGACCAACAAAGACGTGATAAATTATGTCTGATGGGACAAAAGGTTTCCTCTGAGCCGTGCACTACCTCTGCTCACCACTAGAGGTCAGTAGCGTATCACGTCTCTTATTGGTCACGTCCGCTCCCACGAGCCAATCACAGCCTTTTGCGTAAGAACAGTTGCTTCCGGGTGACTAAATCCTTTTTTATTTGATGCTTTCTGTATAATTAACGGAAAGTTGTGAGCTCTGAGGCGTTAAAACGAGTAGAAAATGAACCGAATATTCGGACGTGGGAAGCCGAAAGCGCCTCCTCCGAACCTGTCGGACTGTATCGGCACTGTGAGTATGTTAGCCTGGGTTTTTGTTGTTAATCATGAGACCTAACGGTGCTATTACCAAGCTAACATGGCCACATAAATGTAGTCGTTGTTGTAATAAAGTTCACACATTATTGTTAATTATTAGCACTGAAAGCAGCCTCAAACAAGGCGTACCTCTAATGATGTAACGTATTTATCATTATTTGACAAGCTTCTACCTTTCTGTTTCATACACACACACACACACACACACACACACACACACACACACATACAATAACACCAACAGAATGTTGGAAATCATTCGCTGTAATTGATCTGCTTCTCTCTCAGGTAGATGCCAGGGCAGAGTCCATAGAGAAGAAAATAGGCAGGCTAGATGCTGAGCTTTTGAAGTATAAAGATCAGCTGAAAAAGATGAGAGATGGGCCCTCAAAGGTAAGAACAGGTCATGTTAGAAAAGCTCAAAAGTCAGAAGACTGATTCAGCCAGCATCATGTGTTTTGTTTTGAATGCAGAATACGGTGAAACAGAAGGCGATGAGAGTACTGAAGCAGAAAAGAATGTGAGTAGATCTCAACTCATTACTGAATGGCTGCATGGAAGATGTTATTATTTACCGCAGCTTTATTTTCCTAATATTGTCCAGATATGTGGGAACCGTTGAGTGGTTTTAGCAGCAGAATTGTCCTTAAGTGTAACTGCATAAATAACCATTTATGATAAAAACAGACTTTAATTCATAAAGTCACATCCAAAAACATCAAGTTTCTTGTTTTTCCATAATTGTGTTTGACAGTAAGCCAAATCTGCATGTCAGATAAAGTAATAGCAATTCAAAACAAAATTACACATCAAAATTATCTGATCTTGGACAGTGAGTACCACTGATCTTTAACCGTTTGGGCCCTAGGCCTTTTTTCTTTGGGCCCTGGCGCCTCCCAATCGGAGGCCTTTGGAGTTTCATGTCCCAAGTGTCAGTGATTGTATGCATTCCCCGAGCACAGCTACAGCTACAATCCAAACAGTTTAGATTGTAAACAAAGCAATTTTTGGTTTTTGATACATTAAGATAAAATAATACTTGAATTTTATTTTATAAGAGCAGCCCTGTGTGAAAGTGCTGACAGGATGGAGGCTGTGAGTTCAAATTCCATTTAGGAAATTTAGTCAGTTGTTTTATTTATTCCAGGGGTCCTCAACTAAATTTGTTCAAGAGGTTTTTTTTTTTTCCAGCAGGCATCAGTGAAGGCCAGATGCAATTCTAAAATAAAGTTAAAGTATCATTGTATCTTAATTTATTACAATTTAAAATGGCCTTGTTTCCCATCTGGGCTGTTTGATTGTGGTTTTAGTTGTGTTTGGAGAATGTGGACAGTTGTAGATGTTTGGGACATGAAACTGTAGAGGCCCCCAATTGGGGGGCGTTAGGGTTAAATGGGTTAAACAATTCATTATGTGTCTCTAAAAGCTTCTCCGATGTGTTTCACAGGTATGAGGGTCAGAGGGAGCAGCTGGCTCAACAGTCGTTCAACATGGAGCAGGCAAACTACACAATTCAGACCCTGAAGGACACCAAAACGACTGTAAGAACCACACTGCTTGGATAAGTGTTTGTTATATGCACTTTATAGATTATCACTCCCAGACATGAATAAAATCCAGGCTCTAAACCACAAAGATGGCATATTCAAGACGCCAGGTTATCTTGAATTTACCTGGTTTAGCAGATATTTCAGTGTAAATCCTCTAGGTGATGTTATTGTAGATATTGATAGATTCATTGATGTGGGCACCATCTGATCATGAAGCTAAAAATTCTGAATGTCTTATGAGAAGAAAAAATGAAAATGGTGCGCTCAAACAAATTATGGAGATTAGCAAAGATGCATCATCTTAAAATTAGGATTCTATTGACACATCTTGCTGTATTTTATTGTTTCTACGGGTGCTGAATTAACGTGTCGTGCTCTGATGTCATGAGCCTTTAAACTGCTTGCAAACAATTGTTTTCATCCATTTTGAGTTGCCTTGGTGATGTATCCAGCTGTGGTTTAAATCCCAAATGTAACGCTGACTGTCTGTCACAGCAAAGTTCTTGTCTCTGGAAAGTGAAATGACACTAGCAGTGACTTATTTCTTCTACCTGTTTACAGGTGGAGGCCATGAAGATCGGTGCAAAGGAGATGAAGAAGGCGTACAAAGACGTGAAAGTCGATCAGATTGACGTACGTTACTTTAAAACTGTTTCTTCTGTCCGTCACTATTAATACAGCCTTTTTGTGCTAAAATTAACAAATGTAAAAACTGGCTCGTTTTCTCCTTTTTCCACCACTGCAGAAAAAAAAGAAGTTAAAAGGGAAACAAAGTTCTGCATATTCATATTTCTCTGCTTTTTAGCTCCATTTTACATATTTTTATTAAATGGTCATTCTAAAGTAGGTTTTCAGTAACTCAGTCAGGAAGTCACACAGTTGGAGAGCTCAGCAAACAGACAATAGCAACCCAGCTAGCAGCCAAAATAGAAAACAGGTGGTTAAAAAAGTTGCTGTGTGTCGCTGCTTGAAGTTTGTTGTGTGTCTTTTGGTGTGTGTTTTTTTTTTTTTTTTTTTTTTTTTTTTTTGCATCACAGTGATTAGATGTTTCTTCTTGTCACATAATTTCATTCATTAAACTTTTGGGTTTGAACTTACAGGATTTGCAGGATCAGCTGGAGGACATGATGGAAGACGCCAACGAGGTTCAGGAATCCCTGAGTCGCAGCTACGGCACTCCAGACATCGACGAGGAGGATCTTGAAGCAGGTAAAGCTGTCTCCTTGTAGACTTCATCACTTATTTCTCAAGTTCTCTAAGATCAATGCAGGGATGAGGGTTTCATTCACTTTTGAATGAAAATCCTAGGGCAGCCCACTCAAGTTGATTGGTCCCAGTCACGTGACCCGATGCTGTGCTTGAAACATTCAAAAAACACTCAGATTAATACCTACACGGAGTAAATATCTGCTTCTCAAATTCTTGCCACTTTTTACATTAATAATTGTATCATGACTGTTTTATTAGTTCTTATATTTGCTTATCTCTTAATTAACTTTTTTTCTATCTTACCTTCTGCACCAAAATACCGCAGCAATTTCCTAATGTTGTGACTTGGCACACATATGGCAATAAAAACTTCTGATTCGGATTCGGATTGTTAATCACAGTTAATTACTAAAAAGTTTCAGCAGGCAGATTACACGGCTAGTTTTATTGTCATGGCCAATGAAAAAAGAGATTCAGAGCATCAATCGTGTTTGAATTATCAGTAATGTTATCCATCAGACATATTTTGCCAAGTGACAGTGTGACTGTTTCAGAGTTGGATGCACTGGGTGATGAGCTGCTGCTGGACGATGACAGCTCCTACTTGGATGAAGCCTCAGCTGCACCGTCGATCCCTGAAGGAATCCCCAGTGACAGCAAGACGAACAAGGTAGCAATTGGTTCACAGATCAGATCTGAGTTTCCTCTAGATCTTATTCTGTGTTTTCCTTTTTCCTCTCAGGATGGTGTTTTGGTGGACGAGTTCGGCCTGCCGCAGATCCCCGCCACATAAACAAGAACAAACATAAACAACTGCACTTTTTCTACATAGAGTAACATTTATACCATTTGACCTGAAAACACTAAAACTTTTGAAGCTGTCTTGGTGTTGTTACTACTACCATGCTAGCATGTGGCCTTGTGACACTTCTTTTAAAACATCATTCACCCTAGCTGCTGCCCTCACCATCTCCTGTATGTGGTTCATCAGTGTTGATATTAATTTATTTTTTATTTATGTTTTATTAGTTTTTATGTGTTGTTTTGTCATTATTTTTGTTTCAAAGTGGAGCTCATTTCTACTAAACCTGTTTAAAATATCTGCAGGGAAACATGCAAAATAAATGATGTGTTCTAACTTTACCTTGACTTAATTATTTATTGATTACTATCATTTTCCCTGGTTTAGTTGTGGGTTATGTTTCTTCCACTCGAGTTGTGGCTCTCTGATGAGATCCAATTCTGTTCTCTCTCTCTCTCTCTCTCTCTCTCTCTCTCTCTCTCTCTCTCTCTATGTATATATATATATATATATATATATATATATATATATATATATATATTTTTTTTTTTTTTATATAGAACCAGTTAACAAAACAAGTCTTCTCAAAGAACAAAAAAAAAAGATCTGTTTCCATCATTCCTAAAGTCCATCCATCCATTTTCATCTGCCTATCTGGAGTCGGGTCAAGGGGACAGCAGCCTAAGCAGGGAGGCCCAGACTTCTCTCTCCCCAGCCACTTGGGTTAGCTCCTCTGGGGGAATCCCAAGGCGTTCCCTGGCCAGCCAGGAAACATAGTCTTTTCCAGCGTGTCCTGGGTCTTCCTTTGGGTCTCCTGTTTGGACATGCCCAGAAAACCTCACCAGGGAAGCATCCAGGAGGCATCCTAACCAGATGCCCGAGCCACCTCAGCTGGCTTCTCTCATTGTGGAGGAGCAACTGCCTCTCTAAGGGAGAGCCCAGAAACCGAGAAACCCGGCGCAGAAAACTCATCTCCTAAGGTCTCCAGGAAATTAAATTATTCTACCAGTTTTTATTCTAAATAACACTGATGTGGCAAAATCTGGTTTTCATTAGGTTTTAATATATTTAGAAAAGCTGTACATTTATATTATTGACCTATGTGATTATTAAACAGACTTTGACTTTAATAAGCCCAAATTGACCAGTAATAATATTAGTTAAAATAATTAAGAATGTGACATTGCGTTCAGACCAATCACAACTTCAGACACATTTTCATGAATTAGCTTCATGTATTTGTTCAGTAATTGCTGGATTGTTCATAATCGATATATAGAAATGGGTGGTGAGAAGAGCTTCGACACCATCGCAGACACTTGGAAGTACACAACTGCAGCTCAAAATTCCGACTCTGGTGGGACTCGAACCCACAACCTTTGAATCTCTTCTCTAGAGGTCAGCTAGAAGTCCAATGCGCTATCCATTGCGCCACAGAGCCAGTTAACAAATGGTCAGAATAAATACAAACAGTTCCTACAACCTGTTTTGGGGGGTTTAATTCAACGTTTAATGTAGATTAGAAATTATGCTTAAAATATTGAGAATGCTCATATTTAAATAGTTTAATAAAATAAATATTAGAAAAGTAATGTTTCCGGTTTGCACCGGAAGTAGTTAGCAGTCAGCAATAGATAGCTGGTTAGCTGCAACATTTAGGCTGTAAATTGAAACAAATCAAAAATGTCAGCTCAAACGATTACAGTGACCGTCGCTTACGGTAATAAAATGTTCACTTTATGTTTCGCGTTCATATAGCAGGAGGACTGTTAGTTTACTGACCGTAGGCTATAGCTGCTATATGTAATGCTCTGTTAATACGTAGCATGAACTAACTGCAATTCACACTTAAGCGTTGATGATGTACTTTTTCAGCGCACTAGTTTTTAAACCTAACGAGTACTTTCACAACCAAATGTACGACTGTTTTAACGCCTGCGTTTGTAAAATGGCCGTATTGTTTAGTATATAAGCGAAAATACTCCTTCTCCTCCCACAACATCGATTTTTTTTAAAGAAAAAAGTATTAGTGGTTGCAGAATTTTATTCACGAAACAACAATATAATAAACAAATCTGTTTTGTTACATGCTAAATGTTCAATCACACATGAAAGCTATTTTTATATAACTCACCTATTATTTCCTGTTTCCTCCCCAAGGATCAACTAAGCACAGCATCACAGTAACGAGCCAAGATGAGGGGAAAGGACTCACTGTTAAAGACCTTGCAGAAGCTCTTAATCAAGCCACTGGTGTTCCTCCTGCTTCACAAAAACTTATCTTCAAAGGTGGACAGTACATCTTTTATTTCTTGCTCAGGTGAGCTGGTTGTCTTCAGTCCATGTCTTAACATTTTGCTGTCCTTCCAGGAAAGTCCCTTAAAGACTTGGAGGAAAGTCTGTCGAGCTATGGAATAAAAGAAGGCTGCAAGCTCATGATGATTGGAAAGCGGGTAAGATGATGTATCTCGTAAACAAAAATATGCATACATACATTTATGTCATTGATAATGAACCTGAAACAGAACAGTCCAGAAGAAGAAGCTGAACTGAGGAAGCTGAAGGAGATTGAAAAATCTGTGGAGCAGATGGTGAAGAAGCTGGAGAATGTAGACGGGGAGTTAACCGGATTAAAGAACGTATGGAGTCGCTTATGTTAATGATTTGATTATCATATTTCCAAATGTGCTACATGGATAACCCCCTTATCTTTTATCTCTCAGGGCTTCCTGGCCAAAGACCTCCAAGCAGAGGCGTTGAGTAAACTGGACCACAGAGTAAAAATAGCAGCAGAGCAGTTCATGAAGATCCTGGAGCAGATCGATGCCATGGTGATCTACTTTGGATTTGTATTCATTTCATTCGTGTATCTTTTTGAAACTAAAACAGTTTCCATTTTAACAGAGTCTCCCAGAAAATTTTATCGATTGTAGAATGAAGAAAAAGGGACTTGTTAAAACAGTGCAGGTAAGACCGTTTTTCTTTTTCTTACAACAAAAAATGATGAAAACAGTAGAGAAAAATAAATGACATAATTTGTGTGTCCTTAGGACTTCCTTGCCCGGTGTGACAGGATCGAAGCCTGCATTTCAGACCACCTATCAAAGATTCAGACAAAAAACCTGGCCCTGGCATAACAGCTAACTCTCCCACACCGTGTGCCGTATGTTGCTCCGTGAGCGACCCCAAAGTGTACAGAGAGCTTCTACTGAGAAGCAGGTCCTGCTTTATTTATTGTGGGTGTGATGTGTAGGAGAGAATCATCATAACCAAGAATCTGGTGCAAACAATGTTGCTAGGTATAAAAACAAACCAATTCCCCTGGTGGAAGAGCGAGGGGCTCAGATTCGCTTTGAAATTCTGTTGATCCCATCAGAAACTCAACAAAATGTTCAAGAAAACTTCAGTCATGAAGATTTCACTTTTTAGTGTAGTTAAATTTTCATTGTATATTAACTGGTGTGTACCGTGTGGCTTATATGAACACCTCAGCATCACCCCCGTGTTCTGTAATTATTGTCTATACCAGCAGTTTACTTGTTTTTGATTTTTCTATCGGAAAATATAATAAGAGCCTCGACTAGTTTATCATATTCCATTATTGGCTGAAAATCTGGAAGTTAAGTGGATCAGGTCATGTGGGAGGAAACTACTATCCATCTAAAGTAGATTGTTTTATAAGCTTGGGGATTATTTTTATTTTTTTGTTAAGCAAACATTGTGAAATTTGTTGTCATGACTTCGAAATGGTTAAGAAAGCAGCTTAGGTCCATATTAAAACCTTCAGAAAATGCTGAAATATTAACCAGAATCAACAATTGACTGAAATAAATCTGGCTCCAAATCCATTTAGCTATTTCTGTGTTTACCAAAAATAAAAGGCTGCTTCTTCAGCAGTTGCATCTAGCGTCTTGTAACTGTCCCAATCAGGTTTTGAAACTTTGTGTGAAGTTATAGTATTCCAAGCAATCCCACAGACTCATATATCATATCCATTGGCTTTTGTTTGAAAATAAATGCTTTTGAAACAGAACGAGAATTTATGACTTCAGTTTCATCTCAAAACTTGACATTTTTCAAACAAAACATGATTCAATCAGACCAAAACCTCTTGTGTTGGTTTATTTCCAGCTTTATCAATGGGGTCTTCTCATGCCTTTACTTGCCAGGACAGACCCCGTAGTGATGTCATAAATGTGCAAATAAGCAAAAAAAAAAAAAAAAATTAAAAAACAAGTCTGGAGGAGGGAAGGGAGACCCAGAGGTCCACAGAGCAGCTTAAACAAATGACCTTCAAAAGGCTATAAACAACAGTGCTGCTTTTCAGAAGCCAAACTACAGAATATAGCTGATTCAGATGAAGTAGAAACGCATTAAAAGAAGCACATGAAGTATGAACAGAGCCTTGTGCAGCACATCACTAATCGTCCTTGTCCTTCGCACCGTGTTTTAGAATACGTGTGAATGCTACGTAGTTGAAGTTGCCTTTCTTGTCGATTGGTGCCTCTCGATAAAGCTCGTCCACGTCTTCGTCTGTGAAGCGGTCGCCCATGGTAGTGAGCAGCTCCCGCAGGTACTCCTCCTGAATCATACCTGGGGAGAAAATAGTTTTATCTTGAGAAAAAAGTGTGACTAAAACATTTATTATTACAGAAAGGCAAGGCATTATCTGTAAGTGGAAAGTTAACGCAAATTAATGTGAAGTCTAATGTTTTGGACAAAATGAAAGAGAATGTTTCCAAAGCAATGATGAACACACTGATGACAATTTAAAAAATGAGATGCGGTGGAGGATTTGATGGTTAAGATCATCACCTGTGCCCTCTTCATCAAAACACGCAAAAGCGTTACGGATCACATCCTCTGGATCGGTGCCATTTAGCTTTTCTCCAAACATGGTCAGAAACATGGTGAAGTTGATTGGGCCAGGAGCTTCATTCATCATAGCCTCCAGGTAGTCATCAGTGGGGTTTTTACCTGCAAAACACAAAATAGGTTCCAAGTTCTAACCTCATTGCCCAGGTTTCAGATCAGATTATGCAAAAACAATACCAGAAGATTTTTCATGTAGCCTTGAGGGGTTTGAATGACTGCTACTTGTTTATTGCTCCCACAGCCGTTACATATTATCAGAATGTAAAAGTCATACCTAGTGAGGCGAGCATATCATGAAGGTCTTCTTTGTCAATAAATCCATCTCTGTTTTGGTCAATCATATTGAACGCCTCTTTGAACTCCTGGATCTGGGACTGATCAAACATAGCAAACACATTGGAGGTAGCACGCTGGGGTCGCTTCTTGGTGTTCTTTCCCTTGGCCCTTTTACTTGACATTTTGCAGACTGGTAGGTTCCCTCTCCTAGAATCATGATGACATTGAGGATTTGTGATCAGCAGATGGAATAACCCGGAAGTAGTAAATAATTTACCTCAAAGGCAAATTTTTTATGTTTAAGCTGTGCTAATTTAACAATCTTGGGCGCATCATTATTTGTCCTTTCTTGATGCTATGATAATTTATTTTGTATGGAATCTAGTCTAAACTTAGGGAAGGACATATCTGACTGAAAAATTATGTACTGCGTATGTTAGGAGGCATTCAAGGCCGCTTGGAAATTTGACTATCATTTGCATAAATTACACTAGCTCATATATTGAAGAAGTATTTGTTCTACCCACCGTCTAAATGATCTTTAGAATTATTATTTCTGTATTTTGTTTGTTTGTTTTTTGATTTTGTCAGTAAATTTGCCAAAGGATAATTAAAACGCCGAACATGTATGTTATTGTTAATTACACATATATCTAGTAACGGTGACTTACTAAATCTAACAGGAATGTGGCGTACTATCCAGTTTACATTTCAGTTACAAATATATTATTATAATGCATGATTACCCTCTAATACACCATTTAACTCCATGGGAAGTGAATGTAATCATTATTTATCACCGACAGCTATCGCTACTGACCTACATAACGGGCTAGCTTTAGCACATTAGCTGAGACGAATTCAAATAAAATAAAATAAATATCTGGCACGTTTTTTAATTATATAGATTTATCATGTGTTGATTAAAATAAACAATAATCACGTACCTGAGAAAAAATGTAAAAGTTCTAACCAAAAAGGCGTTAAAGGAAGCTACCAAGACAACAGAATGACGAAGAAGAAACCGACCAATCGGAGTCGGAGAAGAACTGGAAGAAACCAACACAGTGGAATGTTCCATATACTGCAGGGGTTTTATAGCATTCGTATTGATTTTTTTCAATAGTTGATACAAATCTGTTTTTTATAATACACACTATACATTTTTCCTCTATGTTTTGTTTTATATTTAGGCGTTTGAAATTCTCAACCGAAAGTTGTAGTTTATGTTTTTAACCACGAGATGGCAGCAACAACGTAGGTTTATAGTAAGCATTTTCCAAAAATAGATCGTTTCGGTATATGAAACTCCATCTGAAAATTAAATTAGCCAAACTTTGTACTTCGATACAGTATAATTGCTTCATTTTAACTATACGGAATTAAGATGGAACACTTAGTTTAAAGTTGATTAATAGAATAGAACTGAGGTCACATGGTGCTGATTTTCACCTGTGGGTTTTGCCAGGATTTTAGTCGCTGCTTGAGCTCTCCTCTGCACAGCTGAGGGACAGGCCCAGCAGCTCCTGTGGCCCATCTCGTGTTCTAAATTTAAAACTGCCCTGGCCTTAAAAGGTCCTGACGGTGTCTTGTGCGTTCTGCCGAGTGGCAGCATTATTTTTGTTCTGTGGACTGCTGTCCTGTCCACTGCCCTCACCCTGCTGCTTTGCCTGAATCTAAACTTGCTTTAGCTACTTTTGGATTAACGCACCTTTTTTCCTTGTTGAGGATTGTTTAGTTCAAATTTGTGGTGAGTTATGCACGATGTAATTTTTAAAATCATCATAAATTAGGTTTGCCTTGTTAAATAATTTTAGATCTTTAATTAGGCTTATTCATCTTTTATTTATGTTTATTTGATATTTTTATGTTTATTTGATACTGTTCTTGTGGATCAAACTAGTCTATATATAAACTAATAATAATAATAATACTCATCAATTAATGTCTTACATAGAATTGGGGAAAAGGTTTTATTAACTAGATTGATCATTTTAGCTCATACTGATCAGTGGTTTGGTTGAATTTGCATTTCCTAACAGCTTAAACTGCTTGCAGCGGATGTTGAAGCATTTAACAAGCAGCATATTTGTCTCTTGTAAATTATTAGGCTACACATAGCAGCTAAACTTGCAAAACAATGTGGTTCTCTGCCCCTGAGACAGATGCACATTTTTCTGTCCTGTCTGTCATCACAGTATTATAGATTTACTGAATTACCGGTGATCAGAATTAGGACTAATTCAAATATATGTGTATTTTGCTGTAATTAAAGCCAGAAACATGGTCAACTCCATCTTTAGGGTGATGCATTGATTATTAGAAGCGTCAGGCCCTGGGACACAGATGTGTAAAAGGCTCAAGCACTTGTCCTCTTGTCCTACCGCCAGTAAAACCTTCGAATGAAAGAGACAGAAGAATTCTCTCTAACATCATTGCTTCTCTTTGTGTTTTTATAGTGTTTTGAATAGTTTGGTGGTTTACATATAACTCTGCAACTCTGCTCATGTGATTATTTCCCTGTTTAGTCATGTTTTTGTCAAATTTTTTTATCTTTTTTGTCAAATTTTTTATTATTTATGTATTTTGTGTTTTATGACATAGTATTTTTGTCCACTGTGTGTCATTTTTGATGTGTTCAAAGCATCTTTCTCCCTCATTTTCATCAGTTAGCATTTCATGTGGGCTTATATATTTTTTTTCTTTCTTCAATTACATTTTCCAATCAATATTAGTGTCTCTGTGATCATTTTTAACTTCTTTTTGGCAAGTAAGACAGACCAGTAGCCCTCTGAGACTTTTGACCCTTCTGGGCTTTTGGTTTTGTAGGCCCTTCAGGGATCTTTCTAAAATTTGGATCTGTTTCAGTTTTTGTATCATTACACCAAAAAAATACACATTTTTTTCTAATGAATTTCAATATTTTGCATTTAGTACTATTTTCATAGCTATTTAAATCCATATAATAATTTTAATAGCACAATATTTCAATAAAAATCCATATTTTTTATTTTTAAGAAGAAAAATAAAAGGTTTAGGTGTTTTTATTATTATTTATGTTTAGTGTTCTAATCCAAATGTTATCTGAATATCAATGACTTTCTATCACAAAATAAAAACCACTGCTGCCTCAAGTTACTCATCAGCTGCTGCTTAATTTTACACTGTAGAGGTAGAACTTAAGCAAAACTAATGCTTTATGAGCAAAAATAATAAAAACTAATAACAAGCAGAACTAAATAAAACAACATTTTAAGCAGTCACTAATTTTCTAAGCTATCCCTCCTAATATCTAATTTCCACCCGCTTCTTGCAACTAACCCACAATTAGGGAAATCCACCTGCTAATAACAGCGAGGTTGATTTACAGGGCTGGTAAGGCAGTCGCTTTAAAGTTGGCGGAGTGGCCCTCAGGATGTCAGGATCAGTGCAAGTGGAGCAGAAGCAGCAGCAGCTGTGTCAACTGCTGGAGAAGCAGGAGCTGCATCAACAGCTGGAGACGCAGCAGCACTTTGAGAGCAGCTATTATCTGAGCACCAGGTCATCTGCTAGCAGGCAGGCATTCTCCACCCACCAGACTCACAAGACCAGCAGCCATCGGTAAGGCAAGGTGTCAAAATGACGGCAGAAATTAATGAATAAATTCAAGATTTCATGTAAATGCAATTAAAATGTGTTGGATTTGACATTTTGGGTGAAAACATGAAGTTTGAAGAATATTTTTAGTAGACGTATAGGTACTTTGGTAGAATTTAGCCACTCTTGTCTTTCTCTGTTTCAGTTTCTTAAATTAATGTCATAAAATCTACATGTAGAAGGTCTTGTAATTAAACAGTCGTGTGATTTTGCTGAAATTTAAAATTGAATATCTATGGCAGCATGCTGATTGATTCTGCAGACTGAGATTTTACAAAAATGAATCAATAACATTCATGAGATATTCCAATGCTTTTGCACTGCAACAACTTCCAATTTTTGTAAAGGAATATTATGCAACATATTTTCAAATCATTTTCGTGAGCCAGTATGTGCTAAAATGACCCTTTACACGGTTAACAGAATGTGACTCAGAGCCCCAAACCCCCAGTGGCCAGAAAACCGCACTTGCAATTTCAGAGTTGGCGGGTGCTCCCTACTGTTGGGGGGACCTGTGGAGTGGAGTCCTCTTCCAGCACACTTCCTACCGTGAACTGAGATGATTTGTTTGATTTAGTGAACAACCGCTCCTCTAGAAACTCATGAAAGCTGGGGAGACATTTCAGCTGTTAGATTAAGTTGTTAAAAAGACGATTGCACAACGAGGAGATAAGTTTCCTTTTTGGTTTAACCACAGTGAATTAATAACGGACACCAGGGGGTGCTAAAACAAGCAACACTGCCTCGTATCCCTTTAAGATGTCAAATAAAATTTGATGATTAATAATTTGTTGCCAACATCTCTTTGTAATGATGAAAATTATAGTGAATATTCTACAATATTCCTCAATTTTTGTTGGCGTAGTTTCATTTAAGAGACAAACAACACAAAATCTAAAATTTTCATGCCTGATGGATTTTTCGACCAGTGTTTTTCTGATTACCCCATTAGGACTTGGGTTGAACATTTTTATTCCCATATTTAAAAAGTTCTGTACGTGTTCAGTAAATCAAGATATCTGTTTTTGCGTTCTCCTGGTTGTTCTTTTGTCAGTAATGAAGATGGATTTGAGATGTAGCTGTCAGGCATCACCTGAGATTCATTGAGAATTTTTTTAAAAGAGGTCCTTGACTCATATTTTTAAAACATTTGAAGTGATCTCTAGTAGGAATGAATGCCTTGTAAGTTGTTTTTTGGGGGAAAAAAGCTCCGGTACGTGCGCATGTTTGTAGTCCGCTGGAGGAGAGAGTAACGTCAGACGACAGGATTCTGAGTCCTATTTCCTGATATTTAGACATCTTGCCTTGTTTGCTTTGCAATGTTGATGTTTTGTCTCCTGACACACGCCTGAAGGAGTTCTGTTGTGTAAGGGAGTCGCTAATGCTAACGGTTAGCGTATGCTAGCCCAGTTGGTCTCTGCTGTTTCCTGGATGCTAAATAAACACCAGCCTTCCCCGTCGTGAGTCAAGATGGATGAGTCCATGAATGTTAAGTGACAGTGTGATGCAGATCTGTCTGGATTTTCGAATCTTAGCGTTTCGCTGTCTATTTCCCATCAGCTAATGCAGGAGATATGGGTAAGAGACCATTTTCATGTTCAGCCTGCATGAAAAACTCAGAATGACTTTGATTTAAAAAAATAACAATTAAAAATGTTTTTTCAGTGAAGGACCTCTTTAAACTGTTGGGTTTTGTGTACATGTTGGATGGACACAGTGGAAAGGCACAAGGCACTGCCTGTTATATTCACAGACAACATCACTATTTCTGCACACCTAACGTGAGACGTTTCTATTGCAACAACTAAATCTAGAAATCCTCTCTGGCTTCTATAACGAATCTTGAATCCGTTTCCAAACGAGAAGCAGGAGTGCACATCTGTTCTGCGGTAACGTCTTATATCTAAATTTGTGTGTGCATGAAAATATTCAGTCTGACTCACACATACAGGAACTCGTCTTTTTATTCTCCTGATGCACCTGGTGAGTCAGCAGGGGAAGTAACTTCTCAGCGGTGCAGAAACCTTTCAAGACAGCCTTCCTAAATTCATGTCTCTGCTGTGCACTGAGTCTGGACCCTGAAGCAGAGCTCACCAATGACATGATGTCCCACTTCTCCACCAGGCCACATAGACACGGAAGGGTGGCCTTGTTAAGTGAGAGCAGGGCTTTAAAATAAACTTTTCCCTGCACAGCCATGGATCCATGTTCCATATATAAACACTGGTGACAAACAGAAGGTTAGAGTGAGTCAGGGAGTAGTATCTGTCAGAGGTGGACTCGAATGCATCGTCGTCTGCTACAGAGTCAGATGAATATGGGTTTATGTAACTGGTGTTTATTTAAAGGGTCATGCTTTTAATGCTATTTTAGGAATGCACTGCAGCCTTGTTGTTTGAAAGTGATGTGAAGGTAGGAGTCTTCGCAGAAAAAAAAGTTGACTTCTTCAAATAGCTCATAGCTGGAGTACAGGGTGCCTTAAGTCTCCTCCTCATGGGTCTCCGGAACACCAAAAAAATGATTGCAAGTGATCGGAGCTACAGTATAAAAGCTTTTTTTCTAATCTGCCTTATGCCCTGAATCACACATATGTTGGAATTTAAACAAAAAGAAATCATGTGAGTTTTGACTATATCTGTCTAATACTTTGAGATTTCTTAGCTTGTAAAAATTCGTAAATGTCATGATTACAAATCAGATGCAGAATCTCACTTACCACATCGTGGCCAGATTGTTTACTTTGGTTTCCTCCATGTTTAATGCTCCTTCTGTCATCGTAGAAGAAAGATTCAAGGCTCGCTAAACTTACAGCCGTTTCGTTCTCCGTTTTTGATTGGCTGACACCATTATGGTGAGACGAGCATTTAGGGCTGGGCAAAAAATCTAAAATGTTATCGTGATCAAAATTTCTGACTCTTATCGTGATAAATTTTCCCTTGTAAATAAATTTGATAATACAAAAATGAAAAGATGTGTCTAGGTTGGCAACGTTCACGTCCCTTTAAGAAGCTGTACCACCTGGAGTCAGGTAAAAATGTTACTCAAGGTATTACACGTGACAGCCCCATCTAGTGGACAACTTTTGTTTCTGCACATACCTGTAGTTATCGTCCATTTATCGTTATCGAGGAGAAATCCTCGATATATTGTGATATTAATTGTAGGCCATATCGCCAAGCCCTTCGAGCGTTTGTTCTACACGTCTGTTTGCACAAAACCTAAAATAAAATTTGCCACTGTTCAAAACTAAGCGGTTTCTTGGCATCAGGATGCGTGTTTAAAATTCACGGACATCGATTGTGAAACCCATGGCACGTATCAAACAGCATTAGAAAATAGCTTATGCCCCATTCACTTACGTTTATTTTTTCTTATTTCCGGAGACCAGCGGTCTGGAAGAACATGGGCGTGAATTAGGCTCCCTTTTGAGTTTTTGGGGGGAATTTTTTTTTATTTTTTGCAGATATTGACAAACAATAAATAATAAAAAAGCAGATATTAAGACACAGAGAAACTTTTTGGTATATATTTTTTTATTTTTGAACCCGTTTTGGATTGAGCTGTTGGCTAAATGCATGAATGAAAGTGTTAATATCTGCACAGGTATGTTTTGGAACAACTTATTCTGACTTCTATGTTTTCTCTCAAAGCCTGAAGACCTCTGTGAAAACAAAGAAGGGTCAGGAGGTCAAACTGAGCCCGTTACCCAAAAGAGCCAAACGCACCTACCTGGCGATGGACAAGGATAAGGAAGTCATTGGCTACGTCGTTCCTGTATTCAGAGCCAAGTGAGTTTTTGTTTTTATTGATACTGAATGCATTTAGAGGATATTTATCATTTCTCACGTCATGTTGGTGTTGGTTTATTTAAGTCATGATGTGGTTCGGGGTCTGATGGAGACCCAAGAGGAAGATGCCACGGAGGAGGGGATTAACTATGTGGCCATGAGGAACCTGTTCGTCAGGGACGCCAAAGAGGCTCTGCAGGTCCGAGTGGAGAAGAAAACCAGGACAAAGCACGTCAGGGAATCTGCAGAACGCCTGCAGTTTGACAGGACGGTCAGTCCGCTTTTGTGAATTTGCAGTGACAAAAAACCTATTTTAGCAAAAAATTTACACTTATATCAAAAGTTGGGTTTGTTCTCATCCTCCAGATGGAGGAATGGATGGAGTTTCGTAAGAAAATGAACCCAGACAAGCTGACGCACCGTCCAGAGTTTATTGTCAAGCCTCGTGGACAGACTGTCTGGGAGGGGAGGACGGTCCGACTGCACTGCACCGTGGCCGGATGGCCCAAACCGAGGATCGCCTGGTGAGTCTCCTTTCAAGCTCATAGTCTGATGAGACTTTTGCACAAATTTATAAACAGTCTTTGTGCTTTTTTCAAGGTACAAAAACAATGTGCTCATTGATGCCAAGGCCCACCCTGAGAAGTACACAGTTGAAAGCAACTACAACATGCACTCCCTGGAGATCAAGAAGTAGGTAATCATTCACCTCACACATGTTGCCTGCATGGCCTCAGCTGGGATTGATCAGCGTTCAACCTTCTTCAGTGCAAAAAGGGGCAGCGACTTCTTATTTGTGCACGTTTTACTTGTAGCTGTGATTTCCTGGACACTGCTCAGTACTATGCCTCTGCCCTCAATGTGAAAGGAGAAGCGTCCTCAGCAGCCACTGTTGTTGTCAAAAGTAGGTATAGCTATTTTGCTTTTTTTTTCCACATAATTCAGCAGAAGTTTGTTTCTCCTTCAGCCAAAAAGCTAATTTAAGTGAAATAGTCATTTCATGTCATTAGGGTCCCACAGTTTTTTTCAGTCAAATGAACTGTTTATCATTTAGTATGTGCTCATCATTTACTGAAGGTCTTTGTGTCCAGTAAGATTGCTGACTGGAATATTTCTCCATAGGGTATAAGGAGGGCGAGGAAGAAGGGCTATTTGATCCTAAACCACGTGAGAATATGTATTTTAATATCATTTTTAATATGTTTTATTATCATTAGGCAAAAACAACAGCTAAATATCCTGTTTTGTAGCAACATTTAACATTCATAAAGGGCCACTCACTATGATCTTAAGTTATTTTATTTATATTTTGCTGTTTCTTTTTGTTAGAACATATTTTAAACCTGTAGTTAGTGCTAACAACAAGCTAACACCAACATGAACCAACTAATACTAAATCCACACTGTTGGACATAAAATATTATTACTTAAAAGTCTAGTAGCAACAAAGCCAGGTCACCATCAGTCCGTGATTTGTAGCCTCCTTTCACTTCTTCAAACTAGGCCCCATCAAGTTCACTCTGGTTTTAGCTCTTTGTTTTGCCTCCAAAAACATTACTCTCTTACTTTTATTTCTAGGCTCCACCATGATACCAACAAAAGCGCAAATGACTTATTTTTCTTCTTTTTGTGCTTTTTATTCATGATTGGCAAACTGAAAAGGCTAAGTGCTAGCATAACCATAGATATGTATATAAACACTAGATGCCTTGTCCCCGCTGTTCGCCAATGGGATGCGACGTAGGAACGTGGAGGCCATCTTACCTCAGACAGCTGCCCCCTGTCTTGACATTGGGGTGTATGGTGCATGTACTATTTAAATAACTCTAACTTGCTCAATTTACAACTGATTTTCAAAAGGTTTGATTTGTTATAAACACCAGAGATGCGTCTATGAAATAGGATGGGTTTGGCCCAGAAATTCCTGTTGTTTCACTCCACAAAGCATTTAATCTTTCATAGATAACACATTTAATTGTAAGCTATAGTAATTTAAAGTATGCATAGCCTATTATATTATATAGATATATCTATCTATCTATCTATCATCTATTATCTATCTATCTATCTATCTATCTATCTATCTATCTATCTATCTATCTATCTATCTATCTATCTATCTATCTATCTATCTATCTATCTATCTATCTATCTATCTATCTATCTATCTATCTATCTATCTATCTATCTATCTATCTATTTATTTATTTATTTATTTATTTATTCCTGGTTTGTGAAATAGGATTTGTGTAGAGATGAGATTTCAAGGTTCCTTTGAGGTAAAGCCCACATTAACAGAACACAGATACAAATTGTGCACCCCAACAAATAAGACAACTGACACCCAAATCACATCTGTCAGCCAGAACCGGCCCGCCAGCAATAAAATTTCACCCAGCAAATTATTTTGTATTTTCACTGTTTCTTAACTTTTGTTTTCTTATTTATTGACTTTCATTTATTAATTATAAGCTCTTTGGAAATGCTTTCTGAAAAAGTTAGGAAATAATCAAAAGATAGATTAGGTTAATAAACAAGATGGATTACAGTAATAAATAAGATAGATGGATAATGGATTTATCTTGTGAAGGAGATTTTCAACAATCATAAAACCAGATAAATGTATAGAAGGAGGTAGCAGCAGCTATGGAACAACAGTTTCAAATTATTTTATTGACATAAAAACAATGAACAGACTGAAAACTGTACAAGTATAGGTTTTCTTTGCAACAGTTACAGATGACAGGTGATCCCACGTTGTCTCAGTTTGTCACAGCGGCGGTTCAAGCATCCGTAGGCTGCACGAAAGTCAGGCATGTTGACCCTCGAGCTTCACAATTAATAAAAGTGTATTTCTGCAAACAGAAATCCAGAAACATCCTGTTTTAATAGATCTCAGTATAAGTTTTGTGTAACAAACCAAGATGCTTAAAAGTCACGGGCAATTTAGCATTGACTGATTTTAAATAAAACTAGCGACTCCCATTTAGGTAAATAGTCAACTTTGTTTTGCTAAGCAGTGCACCCACCGTAGCCTCGTCATCTATAAGCCAAGTTAGACACAAAATTGCTCATTGCTTTAATGACAACAGGTGAATAAACAACATGTTTAATGCTTATTCTTTAGTGTGGACCTTTGGCAAAGATTATAATAATTAAAGAGTCCAAAAGTTGACGTCTCTTTTCTGTGTGCAGATGGTTTCTGCCCTGAGCACGGTGTGACCTTTCAAACATCGATCATTGATCAATTTGAGGTGGCTTTTGGCCGCGAAGGGGAAACGTTGAGTCTGGGCTGCACCATCATCATCTTTCCCACTGTGAAGAAATACCAACCTGAAGTTGTGTGGTACAGAAACTGTAAGGAGAAAACCCAGAAAATAAGAAAAATGTAAATGTGATTCTGTACTTAAACCTGATTGTGATTTATATTCTCAGCGGTCCCTCTGAAGCCGTCTAAATGGGTGCACACCCACTGGTCCGGGGAGCGGGCCGTGCTCACCCTCACCCACCTCAACAAGGAGGACGAGGGCATGTACACCGTGCGCGTCAACACCAAATCAGGCTTTGACACCTACTCGGCCTACGTGTTTGTCAGAGGTAAAGTGCATAAAGTTAACGGTTCGTTTTTCTCCGAGTTGTTTTCTTATCTGTCTGCATTTAGTTAAAGCAACCGCCGAATGAGTTCAACCCTTTGAACTGTCTGGTTAGAGTTTAATGTAATCTAGCTACAGTGAGGCCAGCTGAAGCAGCACTTCTAAGTTCATGCATCTCCCTCTTCCTGTGCCAGATGCTGATGTGGAGGTGGAGGGGGTTCCTGTGGCCCCGCTGGATGTGCGTTGCCATGACGTTAATAAGGATTATGTGGTGGTAACCTGGAAGCAGCCAGCGGTGGAGGGCAGCAGTCCCATTCTGGGATACTACATTGATAGGTTAGTCAAGAAACAAACGTCACATTAAAAACTAATTCTGAAGCATCATCTAAGGGAGGTAAAATGTATTTTACGCTGACAGGTGTGAGGTGGGTGCCCATCACTGGACTCAATGTAACGATAACCCAGTGAAGTACGCCCGCTTCCCAGTAACGGGACTGGTGGAAGGACGTTCTTACGTCTTCAGGGTGAGGGCCTTGAACAAGGAGGGAGTGAGTCGTCCATCCCGCGTCTCTGAGGCTGTTGTTGCCATGGATCCATCTGACAGGGCCAGACTGAGAGGTTGGACCTGCAAAAGCAAACTCAATGAGAGACTTAAAAAAGGAAAAGCGTAAAACCTCTTATCTTTTTTTTTTTATCCAACAGCCGGGCCTTCAGCACCATGGACCGGGGTGATCAGGTTCACAGAGGAGGATCCCACCGGTTTGACAACTATTTTATTACAAATAATGGGCAAAAGGACTGAAATTATCTTGTCAGATCTCATGAAGTGGATCAAAATTAAATCTCTTAGCACTATTTTTCAGTCTGTTCATCTTTTTTTCCATGGTGCAGTCCCACTCGATTTGACACAGAGCAGCAGGAATTCCATCCTCTAAATTTGTCCTGTTTGATACATTTGAGGATCGAAGTGCTCTACCCCCTTACCAGTATTGGTACATTCCTCAAAAATCCAGAGTCTTGTATGTGTATTCTGACCTCTGGTGGACGATCTGTGCACTGCCGAAGACATGGGCCAGTTTTATTAAATGATTTCACTGTTTTGTAAAAATTTGAATGATTATTAAATTTACCGCTATATGTAAATGAGCTAATAATGGTTATTGAAAGGATCAGGCTTTGAATTAAGGGTTCAATCAGAATATTTTGACTGGTTTTCAAAGTTCCTGATTTTAAAATGTCAGTGGGTTTGTGTATTTTTGACTAGCTAGTTTACCTGAGGCTTTTGAAGAGTTTTCCTTTTGTTTTCTGGTCCTACAGTGGGAGTTGTTCCTGGAGAACCAACCGATGTCATTGTAACCGAGGCAACCAAGAGCTACGTGGTGCTTGCCTGGAAGCCCCCAGTGCAGAGGGGTCATGAGGGGGTCATGTATTACATTGAGAAGGTGAGGAGAATAGATTGGAAGTTTTCTCCCTCTCAGATCGCATCGCTGACAGATTCGTGGCTCCCTGTTTTCTTCAGTGTGTTTCCGGGTCAGACACCTGGCAGAGGGTTAACACCGGCATGCCGGTGAAGTCTCCTCGCTTTGCCCTTTTTGACCTGGCTGAGGGTAAATCCTACAGCTTTCGTGTGCGCTGCTGCAACTCCGCCGGCGTGGGCGAGCCCTCCGAATCCACGGGAGAAATCACAGTTGGAGATAAACTCGGTGAGCTGACAGAGCATACGGGTGCGTCAGCACGAGCTCTGCCCCCAGAGACTGCTGCTGCGTCTGTCTTAGGAGAGGATTTAAAAACAGCAGCATCTTTGTTTTTATCTGGATGATTTATCCTTTTCTGATCTTACTTTTACTTCCTGTTAGAGAGTTTTTGTTCTGTCTTGATTTTCCTGCAGATCAGCCCTCCGCTCCAGGCACTCCAGTACCCACCAGGAACACCGACACCTCTGTGGTGGTCTTCTGGGGAGCCTCTAAGGATGCCAAGCAGCTGGTTGGCTATTACATTGAATGCAGTGTGGTGGGCACTGATGTCTGGACGCCTTGCAACAATAAACCTGTAAAACAAACCAGGTGTGCATCAACAAAACAACAACTCATATTCTTTCAGTTATTATTGCATCACTGCTGCTCATTCACATGGTTTATAGTCAAAGAGTAAAATTATGATATGAAAAGTAAAAGCATCTTACAAAATCCTTTAAGAAATGATTAAAACATGGATGTTCATGGTGGAAAATGTTAATGCTACAGATAATCTCATTTGTGGGTTTTATTTTCGTCTCAAAATTAATAAAATCCAAGCGTATACCTAATTCATAATTTAATCTTCCAGCAACTTCTTCCTAGATGGTGCATCTTTTAATAAATCCCAACCAGCTGAAGTGTATTCCCTCCAGGTTTGTCTGTCACGGCCTCAACACGGGGCTGAACTACGTGTTCAGGGTGAAGGCGGTGAACGCTGCAGGATACAGCCAATGTTCCTCCACTTCTGATGCTGTGGTTGTACAAGCAGCCATCTGTGAGTGCATCCAATATTCAGTCCATGCTGCCTCCTGCTACTAAATCATGAAGTTTTTATCATGCTGCGAGTACACAGGCATGGAATATTTCAACACTAACAATGTGTTTAGACGTGTTTATTTTAACCATGCCAATGGGATATTTTCAAATGCTCTGAATCTGTATTGATTTGTCTTTAACTGGATTTAGCCTGAGTTGTGTTTTGCTGTTGTACAACTCCTCAGGAGAGCCTCTTGGTGCATGGCCTAGCTTAGAGAGCATGACCTTATGGAGAGTCTCGCCGGGCCTCAGCTTTTCTTAGCATGAAACTTGCCTGGGTGTAAGTATTGTTTTCCATTGAAAACATTTTTGAAAAGTGTGGTGCTTTAAAGGTGTGGAACACTAAAAATGATTTCTGATTATAATCAGTAACTGAGATTTCATCCAGACTGAACATGAAAATAGTCTCCTACACCCATCTCCTACATCAGCTTCTGATAGAAAACAGACGGTAAAACTCTAGGATTTGAAAATCCTCAGATCTACGTCACACTTAACATTCATGGACTCACCCATCTTGACTCACGACAGGGAAGGCTGTTTATTTAGCGTCCAGGAAACAGCAGAGAATGTTCTGACTAGTCAAAGCTAACCATTAGCGTTAGCACCTCACCACACGGCAGAAGATCCTCCAAGCTTGTGTTATTTGTGGAGAAAACTCGTCAACATTGCAAGTCCGTGATAAAGCTATTATCCAATCTGAGATAGACAAAGAGACGTACATACATCAGGAAAAAAGTCTCCTAAACCTGCCGTCTGAAGCTCGGCTGTGTTGTGAGTCACTACTAGTTCCTGGAAATTGTGCACCAGTTTATCCCCTCCTACCTCCGAGTACAGCTTACAAGGCATTTATTCCTACACACCTCTGCGAATGTATTGATTAAACAAATGAGCCACACCTTTAAGTACAATAACCACGAGAGAGAGAGAGAGAGAGAGAGAGAGAGAGAGAGAGAGAGAGAGAGAGAGAGAGAGAGAGAGAGAGAGAGAGAGAGAGAGAGAGAGAGAGAGAGAGAGAGAGAGAGAGAGAGAGAGAGAGAGAGAGAGAGAGAGAGAGAGAGAGAGAGATTTGTACGTCATCAAATGAAGCATTTTTGCTACATATAATGCTAATGAGGCTGTGTTCTCACTCCACAGCCGTACCTGGAGAGCCCACCGGTGTGACCCAGCTGGAGGCCGTCAATGACTACATGGTCATGTCTTGGACTCCACCCCTAAACAATGGTGGAGCTGAAATCAGGGGATATTTCATAGACTACAGGACTGTGAAGGGAGATCATTTTGGAAAATGGCACGAAATGAACGAACGGGCTCTTACCACAACCTCCTATAAGGTGGGAAGGCAAAATGTTTTAGATATTAGCTCTGAATTAGCTCAATGCTCTCCTCAGTCCTTGACCCTCTCTCACACCCTCGACCAGCGGAGGCTGAGGGCGTGCTGAAAAAGCTGCGAACTCTCGGTTGAAAAGGGGAAGCCTGCCCCTCCTATCCACCAGGCGTGGTTTATGTTGTAAACCACGCCTGATCCTGTGATGTTTTTAAATTTGCTGTATGTCAAATTTTGGACGAGTTGTTCTGAAACTGTAATTTTGTTGAAACTGACTCAATGAAAGTGAATCTGATTCTGAAGAGTAAACTAGCACAATATGATGATTTGTTTCATGATCTGCATTTGTTTCATTCAGGCTGAGAACCTGAAGGAAAATCTGTTCTACCAGTTCCGGGTGCGTGCGATGAACATGGCCGGTGTGAGTAAACCCTCTGTGCCCAGTAAAGCTCTGGAATGCAAAGAGTGGACCATCACCGTTCCAGGTATGAGTTAGGACAGAAAAGGCTGCCACAAAAACAGCGTTTGTAGATTTAATACAACAATATGAACAGTTAGTTGTTGGATTTGTCATGACTAACACTAACATATCACACATCTTTAACTCAACACTGGACTCCTGCAGGAGCTGAAGGTTTTCTCTGAGGTTGAATGTCAGCGATTATCCAGTTTGGTGAGAATGACAACCGGATGGTCCAGTAGTGGCTTTCAGTCCGAAAGGTCTAATCGGCAGAGGTTCTTAGACAAAATGCAAAAGAACCGCTTCATTAATTTAATTTTTTTATATCCACAAAGTATTTATAGCTATGCTGTGTTAGAACAATGTAAAGAGGCATGAAAAATGTTTTAAGCTAGCATATTTTACAGATTTGTCATTGAAGCTTTAACACTGTTCTTTCAGAGATCATTTACCAAGCTGTCTATGAATAAAATAGTCATAACATTAAAAGAAAAACAGAAATACGCAAAAAGTGACAAATCTATCTTCAATGGATTCCAAAGAAATAACTAGATTGAAGCATCAAGCTGGGGGGAAATGACAAGGTGCTCATTGTTTAGGTGATGTCTGACTGGTAATCGATATTATTTTGTCCTCCAAGGTGCTCCTGTTGGTCTCTATGTTCTGGAGGTCCGTGACACCTCCGCCGTGGTTCTATGGGAACCTCCTGTATTCGACGGTCGTAGTTCTGTCAACGGTTACTATCTGGATATCAAGGATGCTTCTGTTGGGGAGGAAGGTTGGAAGGCGGTTCATGAGAAGACCAACAAAAGCAAGTTCATGAAGGTAGAGAACGTTGATGCATGCGTGAAGGAAACTTAGGTGGTGTTTCCTACTCACCCACTTCTCTGCTTCTGACATGCTGATTCAGGTGACCGAGCTGAATGCTGGAACTTTTTACGTCTTCCGTGTCCGTGCTCAAAATATTGTCGGAGTTGGAAAACCTTCAGCTGTTTTAGGGCCAATCCTGGCCCAGACTCGTCCTGGTGGGTGACCCACGTGTTCCTGGAAAGTGTACGTAGGAAAACAATTGGACGTTCATCATCATGAAGTCTCATTGTCTACTTCCATTTTTTTTCAGGCACCAAAGAGATTTATGTGGATGTGGACGACGAGGGTGTGATTTCTATGTTCTTTGAGTGCTCTGAGATGAAAGCTGGCTCAGAGTTTGTTTGGTACAAGAATTACCAGGAAATAGTAGACACGTCTCGCCTGACTATTATCAACAAAGAGGGCAAGTAAGTATAGCTGTAATGGCTCCAAAAACATCCCGATTTGAATGAACCAAATCTTGCAAAAGACCTCCTCCTTCCCTTCAGATCCAGAGCCATCTTCAACAGTCCATCTCTGGAAGATCTGGGCACCTTCTCCTGTGTGGTCACCAACACCGATGGCATTTCCTCCAGCTACACTCTCACTGAGGAGGGTGAGTCGGCCCACTCTTCTTAATAAGGCGTCCGTTTTTCTGTTTGAACAGCTGGTTCACGTTATCTCAGTACACTTGGGTGTTGTTGACCCAAATCACTCAGCGCCAGTTATCAAGGTGCCAATCAAGGACATTCATCTGCTTTGTTTGCAAGTTGTGTCTTTTTGTTTTCGACAGGACTTCTGCGCCTTCTGGATCTTAGCCATGAGCACAAGTTTCCAGGTGACTACCTTTTGGAAATCGTCAATATGCTGAGTAGTTTCAAAGTTTCATGGTTTAAGTCTTTATCTAATAGTTACTTTGAGTCTCGTGGGCGTGGCAAAACTAAGAATTGTGTCTTTAGCTTCATAAGCTGAATAAATGTGGTGCTTTTCCAGTTATTCCCTTCAAGGGTGAAATGGCTATGGAGCTGCTTGAAAAGGGTCGTGTTCGATTCTGGACTCAGCTGGAGAAATTCACTCCCGCCTGCCAAGTGGAGTACGTCTTCAACGATGCCATCATAGAGGAAGGAAAGGTAGGAACCAAAAAAAAAAAAAACAATGGAAGAGATGTCCAAATTTATCGATCCACCATTAATAACTGCCAATAACTGTATTAAAATTTAATATTGGAAAATATCAGATTTCGGTCTTTTAATGACACAACCTTTACATACTATACACATATTATACATCAAACTCTTCAGCTACTTCCCCTCTATGACAGATCTGAACTAAAGTATTTGAGATATTTTAGTTTGTTTGGCACAACTTGTGAAACAGAAATTTGCCCTACGTAGTGAACGTATGCTGTCCTCACAGCACAGAGCTACGCGTAGCTAGCTAGCTAACAAATCATTCAAATAAAAACAAGAAATGTTCTCGTTAAAACGTGAAAAATTCTCATTACAACATGATTTAAATCTCATTTCAACGTGATATTGATCTCGTTTTAACCCTCTGGAGGCAGGCGTTGCAGATTTTCAACGTTAAAACCTGCCTACCTGGTTACTCCACATACGTACTTCATGAGCAATTTTTTACTCAGAAGTACCCCTGAAGGACTTAGTTGTTCGTCCTTTAATCAAAACTTATTTTGAGCCTGAGAGGGTTAAAGAAAGCTTCTCGAAATAACATGTTTCATAACTCAATGAGAAAGCTGTAAAAGGCGAAACCCCGACGTCTCGCGGATGCTTGAATCCCATCCAGAAGAAACAAAATGAGAAGATGGAGTCAGAAAGAGCTTCTTTGTGTCTTTTTAAGAAGTAATAAGTCAGAAGAACAAATCCCTCCTTATTTTGTCAGATCTTCCTCCACTTTGAAAACAACAGTGAAAACTGCCCTCACTTGGATATTTTGTCCAAGCAGAACTTGTAGTTGAGGTGCAGTTGTAAAAGTTGACTTCCTTTTTGTGATTTTTCACAATAAAAATGATGTCCTGATATTACACGAGCATATTCACTGTGGGAAATCTGTGGGTGTTTTTATGTTGTGTGCCTACAATTAAACGCGACCTCTCAGGATGAAGATCTGTAACTCTGTTGCCTTAGTAACGGGGTGTGCATGGCAGAGCCGGCAGAAAAGAGAGCGATCGTAATTTGTTGATTCAAGCACTGTTGTTTGGCGCGTTTACATCGGTTGTTGCGGCGCTGCTGCTGCTGTACCTCCTAAAGGTTTAACATCAAGAACTGGAATAGCTGCTTCATTCGTTCTGAGTAGAACGCTACGTAAAAGCCATTTTACCGTTACAACCCTTCTCATTATCACGAGTTATTAAACGCCATATTTTGAGAAACGTTCTTGTTAAAACGACTTTTATTTGCCGTTATTACGATAAAGTTTCTTGTTAAAATTAGATTCATATCTCATTAAAATGATAAACTTTCTCTTTATTACGAGATATCGACCCTTAATTTTTTCCCCACACTGACAGTAATACGCTGCCGTGCACTTTTCCATCACTTAATTAAATTGAAGTTGTCATTTTACACAAACAATGTTTCAAATGTAAGCATGCGTGATAGGAGATATGTAACGTTAGTAACCTACAATGTTACGTTTTTCTTATTTAATGAGGTATCGGTTTATACCGTATTGGAAATCAATAGTTCGACACTATCGGAATGTCAGTTTAAAAGCCAATATCCAGCATCCCTAAAAAAATGGAGCTTTAATTCTCCAATTTTTCTTTTGACCTTGCTTCCAATAGACGTGTGTTATTTTTTTCTGCTTCGTTACTTTCAGAAATACACAATGAAGTTTGATAAATCCACTGGCATCATCGAAATGTTCATGGACTCCCTAGAAGTCACAGACGAGGGAACGTTTACCTTTAACCTGGTGGATGGAAAAGCTAAGGGCACAACCAGTCTGGTGCTAATTGGAGAAGGTAAGATTAGATATTTTAAGAAACACCCGTTTGAAGACAGATGAGGAGTGAGCATCTGAACCAGATAAAGCTGCACTGCAGTTCAGTTAGATCCACTGAGGGGCAGAAGTAAACTTTTATTTTCCTGTCACATTTCTCAGTTTATTATTTTTCATGCACTTTGCAGAGATATAAATGTACGCTGCAATTGTCTTATTCTCTGGGGTAAATAAGCAGTTTGTCTTTTTTTCAGAATTCAGGGAGCTTCAAAGGAAATCCGAGTTCGAGCGTGCAGAATGGGTCAGGAAACAAGGCAAGGAGGCACCTCTTTTACATTAAATGCTAACAACATAAATAAGTGGCTCTGATAATGCTCTGATTGTTGTTCACAGGTCCTCACTTTGTCGAGTACCTTGACTTCACTGTGACTGAAGAATGTGATGTGCTGTTGAAATGCAAGGTAAAACAAACAGGACCGTAAATATTTCTTTAATCACATTCAGGCGACTCGACATAATCGGTTTCTTTTCTGATAGATCGGAAATGTCAAAGCCGAGACTGAGATCATTTGGTCCAAGGACTCCATTGAGATTGCAGAGGATGATGAAGATTCTAAGAAAATCGAAAGAAAGGACGGCGAGCTGACCTTTAACATTGGAAAGGTCAGTTTATTAGATGGAGGCCGCAATTTGTGAGGATGCTCCTGAATAAATTTGATTGTAATGCAGCTATTGTGAAGCTTGGTGAGACGTTTCCCTAACAACTAAAGATCTCTAACACAAAAAAATCATAAATTCTGACATGTTAAACTAAAAATATAGCAAAATACACCCTCCTGAGTTCAACAGAAATGCTGCTGGAGTGAGGATGTTTGTGTGTTGTATGCAGAAATTCAAATTTCATTATTTCTCTGTCATTTGTAAGCCCGTATATTGTTATTCAGCATGTTGAAATGTGAGATTAATTCATTCATTTCATCTCTAACTTTGTTTTGAATGTCTGCGTCGTTCCATGAGCTCCTGTCAGCTGCATTTCCAATAACCGGCTTATTTGTCTAATTCACAGTGGATTATTAAGCAAGAATTAAAAGAGAAAGGAAGGAAAAAACCATCTGCAAAGGACGTTCCCCTGCCACCAAGACCTAAAGTCTGGACATAATCTTTCTGCCATAAGTTGACGCCTTATGCCTCCATGTGTCCTCTTTGTCTTCCCTTTTCCATGTTCTCCACTTTTTCATGTTTTAACGCCTGCAGCATCACGGGCGGGAGAAAAGCTTGACTTTTCGGTTTAATTGGTCTCCGTTTGGCTATTCTGTTGTCTGTTGAATGATCTTGTGTCTTCGTCGTTTAATGAAGAGGGGAATTTATAATTTGCCTCAAGGATACTTATGTGACTTTTTGCTTTGCGCCCTAGATCTCCAAGCAAGACACGGGCATTTACGAGGTCTTCCTTAGAGACGAGAGAGGAAAAGATAAGAGCTCCTTCAGTCTGACTGACACGGGTAAAGTTTCATTTGTGGATTTCACGAGCAGAAAATTAGAAATAATTGGTGTTAAAACTACATTTGTTTTGTAAATATCACTATATTTGCTTTTATTCCTGTTCACAGGATACCAGGCTGTAATGAACGAGCTGTTCAGAGTTATTGGTGAGGAAAACACTAATTATTTTCATACTTTTTGGTGAAGTTTTACCAACTTTCCATCAATTATCCAAATATTTGTCCATATTATTGAACTTGATGCTTTCTAGCGATTGTACGCTAAAGCCTGTTGTTGTGTTTTTGTTACAGCCAACTCATCTACTCAAATCCAGGTTGTTAGTACTGAAAGTGGCATCATCCTTTACTCCATGGTCACATATTATGATGAAAACCTGCGTGTCGGCTGGCTTCACAAGTGTGTAAAACTCAAACCGCACATGTTTGTCTGACACAGTGAATACAGTTTTTGAATTTTGTGGTTATAAAATACTCTGCATTTTACTTTCAGATTATTTTTTGTTAGATTCAAATAACTTGAGTTGTCATTCAACAACATCACACAAAGATGCACCGTTTTCACAAACCAAATTTGTTCACATGTAGACTTTCAATATATTAGGGATGCACGATTTATCGACATCAATATCGGTATCGGGCGATGTCATTTGGTTGGTCATTTGACAGTGATAGTAATCATCTCAGAAGCTTAAATGTGTGTAGTGTGTGTGTGTGTCTATAATAATATAAAATACTTATATATAATTCTTAAATTTGGGGTGTTTATTGGCAAGAATCTGGCAATATATATATATATATATATATATATATATATATATATATATATATATATATATATATATATATATATATATATATGTGTGTGTGTGTGTGTGTGTGTGTGTGTGTGTGTGTGTGTGTGTGTGTGTGTGTGTGTGTAATATGGGGAGATGATATATTTTGCAATACTAAAACAAAAACGGTATTTGTGATTTTTTTTTTTACTGAACTTAATTGAAAAACGTACACCAAATGCCTCCAAGTCTGTCAAATGTTATCGCAAGATTTTGTTGCTCTGTCAGAAGGCGGAAAACACTGCTGCCACCTACCAGTCCCGGTTTGAATTGCACCGCATAAAAGAAATTTAGTAAACATTTGTGTGAAAATTCTCAATAAAAAACTGATACAGTGCTTTTAAGTATCGATTCAGTATTGTTACACACACACAAAAAAATCACAATATTTCAGCTTATTGATATCTTCCAAGTAAGGTAATATTGGTAAATACTGGCCATTGGGTATAACAGCAATATTAGTATCTGATATCGATATCTGCTCATATTTTCTTATTGATGGATCCCCATTAAAAAGTTTCAAGTATCATCTGCAATCACTCCTCCTTATTGCAAACTTATTTTAAGATGGGAGTCAGATTCTCTGTGATTTATCTGTGATTTCTTCATCAGAGACGCTAAGCTTGCTGCTTCAGAGAGAGTTAAGTCCGGTGTCACCGGAGAGCAGCTTTGGCTTAAGATCAATGAACCCACCGAGAAGGACAAGGGCAAATACACCATGGATATCTTTGACGGCAAGGATGGTGTGAAGAGAGTCCTGGAACTGGGTGGCAAGAGTGAGTGAAAGTCTTTGCGTCAAAGACAAACCTTTAAAAATAATTAAATTCTCTGACCTTTGCGTAACTTAGCGCTTATTTACACAAACGATAATCAATGATTTGTTTTGTTTCAGTATGGGAGGAGGCCTTCGAAGAGTTCCAGAGGCTCAAGTAAGTAAACAAGCTTGCCTGGCTCTATTGTTCTTTTGCGTAATCCTGCGATTCTGTGTTAGAGGATGTTTGCACCAGATGTAGCAAGAGTTTTCAGAGAACTAAAATAAAACTTTATGTACTTTGGGAGGTCTCTCAGAAGCACTCAAGTTATGCTTCCTGGTATTGTACAACTTATAAATAACCGAGATACCGTTTTTAGATGCCTCTGACAATCTCTTGTCTTTTCTTTTCACAGAGCGGCAGCGATCGCAGAGAGAAGTAAGTGGTTATTTCAGAGTTTCCCCATGGAGGCGACGCTTTATTAAAACAATTGATATTTGCAGAGATCTGTTTATTCGAAGGGGTTTTAGTGGCTTTGAACAGGTCTAGATCTCTGTAAATAGGGAATAATTAATTACAGAAAAGAAATACAGCTACAGTATACACTCACCCTGTTAAAAGTGCCAGGTACGTGACAAGATAACACCCACAGCCTTGGCTCACCCATGTGTTTCTTACTTAGATCGTGCTCGTGTTGTTGGCGGCTTGCCAGATGTGGTTGCAATCCAAGAGGGCAAGGTAAATGGATGAGATGTTCCCCCGCCACTGAACCATGCAGATGTCTCCACCTCCACTGTTCTTGTCATCCTGGCTGTGTCTCATTTCTTTGAAGGCTGATACAATATTTGGGATGAATGTTTGTGTGACACACATCAACCACCTCTTCTCTAACCCCCCTCCAGTCCCTGAACCTGACCGGCAACGTGTGGGGTGAGCCTTTACCCGAGGTGTGCTGGGTAAAGAACGAAAAGGAGCTGACGTCCGACGATCACTACAAACTCAAGTTCGAGCACGGCAAATTCGCCAGCATCACGATCGCCACCGTCACCACGGCCGACTCCGGGAAGTACGCTCTCGTGGTTAAGAACAAGTACGGCACAGAGGCTGGAGAGTTCACCGTCAGCGTGTACAATCCGGAGGAAGAGGAAGGCAAAGAGAAGAAAGACTAAAACACGTGTAGATAAAGTAACCACTGAGTTATATCCGAATAGTTTCCCTCTGCAATAAAGGAGTTCAATAAATCTTAAATACAGGTGAATTCTCCTGCTTCTTTAATGCTAAATGACTTTTGTAATGTTTGATGAGGAAGCTAATAAGATGCTTGGCACATGTATGCAGTCTCTTGTGTCCTCTCAGTAGTTCATTTATGGGAGTTGAACATTCATCTTTGCTTGGTTAACAGCCTGAAGGCCAATAACTGCTCAATATCAGCTCCTCATCGCAATAAAGTATTATATTTAGCTAATGTTTGACTTTTGGACTGATTGCCACAAAAAAAGAATAAATAAATAGTATTAAAGAAAGAAAGGAATGCTGCATTCTGAATTTTTAAGAATACCTGAAATATCAGATATTTTCCAGGTTCAGTTCATTCCCTTTCAATTTTTCAAACGTGTTTGGATGTAATGCACTGAGGCTGTAAGCTGCGGCTGTCGTTTGTAAAAGACACACACGAGCGTTTTGAAAAGGAGGGGTAATGTAGCATGCAATGAGCGGAAAAATGGGGTTATTTAAGTTCTCCCAGCTAAAGCTGTTAGGAAAGTAGCATGACTCGAATTAGCGGGAGCCTTTCTTTTGTTCCTGTCCTGTGCTTCACTCCGAAATTTCCATTGAAAGAATGGAGAATGTTGTCTTTCAGGAATAATAAGGCTACACGTTATAATTTGCCCTAGAGCTTTTGGTTTTGGGTGTAGCAGAAATGAGCATGAAAACATATTTTCTTTTAAATTATCACTTTATATTAAACTGCAGGTGAGGGTTAGGGTTAGAGAGATTTAAAGTAAATATCCTTCCCTGAAAACAAACTATTAAAGGACAGTGTAAGAAAAAAAAACTTCCTTGCATCTCATTTACTGATACCTTCATTGCAGGTGTCATTTTTTTGCCATTCAAAGAAAAGACCTCAAAGGGGAATGAATCCATAGTTTTTCTGTAAAATATGTTTTTGGTACTGATTGTCTTTTACTTAAAGAGCAAGTCACTCCCCAAATAAACTTTTTTGCTCATAAACTATGTAAATGAGTGTCTGATCATGCTGTAGACTTGTGTAGTCAATAATTTGGCACTTAAGTGCATCTTAGTTAAAATTAAATTATTCTGCCTAAAATTATCAGAATTATTATTTAAATTATTATTTGAATTTAAATCTGCCATCGCCATTGGCTAAGAGGTACACTATGACATTAGCTGGTACATTATAATGTCACAGTGTCGTTGTGAGCCTGTGTGTGTGTGTGTATTTGTTAGCAGCTCTGTCCTCTTGGTCTGCCAGGCAACAGCATTTGTTGCATTTTTCAAACAGGAAATGGAAGTGGAGGAAGACTCTAGGGGGTGACTTGCTCTACTACTTGTGAACAATAAAATGTCACAAAATGGGATTTTGAAAATTTAAGACCTCAAAAGTAAAATAAAGACATATTTTACACTCAGAACTCTCCTGAAAGAGAATTATTAAACACCATGTACAAGATCAAGACACTGGGTATGAAGTTCATATTGGTAACAGGCTCAGCATTATTGTAAGTAGAAACTGCATGTTTGAGAAAAAACATTATGGTATGTATTGTCAAAAGAAATAAAACAAAATGTCATCCACGTCTGCAGTGATTTGGGCGTTGTACCAATGTGTCGTGGTGAAGAGAGAGCTGAGCCAGAAGGCAAAGCTCTCGATTTACCGGTTGATCTACGTTCCTACCCTCACCTATGGTCACGAGCTTTGGGCAGTGACCAAAATGAGTTTTCTCCGCAGGGTGGCTGGGCTCTCCCTTAGTGATAGGGTGAGAAGCTCATTCATCCGGGAGGAGATCAGAGTAGATCCGCTCCTCCTCCACATCGAGAGGAGCCAGTTCTCGGGCATCTGGTTAGGATGCATCCTGGACGCCTCCCTGGTGAAGTTTTCCGGGCAAGTCCAACCGGGAGGAGGCTTAAAGGCAGACCCAGGACATGTTGGAGGGACCATGTCTCTCATTTGGCCAGGGAATGCCTTGGGATTCCCTCGGAAGAGCTGGTCCAAATGGCTGGGGAGAGGGAAGTCTGGGCCTCTCAACTTAGGGTGCTGACCCCGCGACCTGACTCCGGATAAGCAGAAGAAAATGGATGGATGGATGGATGGATGGATGGATGGATATCTTAGGTGTGTTCTTGCTGTGTCTTGTTTCTAATCCCATGCTATCGTTCTTTTTTAAAACACAGAAACGGTTTCGTTACCTGTTTTTTCGCTATGTGTCGTCTGCGGCTGCAGACTTCCTCAGAGCTGATGCTGATGGTGGCGTCACTTCCTTCTCCGTTTATCTGCGGGCAGCAGAGGACGTTGTTGCCCTCTGCTGCCCGCTCTCCCCTCTCCGACGATGCAGTCCCATGCGCGGTCCAACGTGTACATTCCGTCGTCCCTGTTCATGGTCCCACATCCACGTCTCCTTATCTCGATTGCTTCTTTAATCCATCTTTTGTATTTTTGTTGTTCGGTGTTTATGATCCTTGTGCTGTCCCAGTCCATTATATGGTTTTCTCGTATGCAGTGATCTGTTACGGCTGACTTCTTTATTATACTTTCTGCTTCTTCTTTTGCTGCTCTCGTGTGTTTTCGACTTGCCTCTTTCTCGCACTCCTTTCTATGTTCTATTGTTCGTGTGTTGAGTTGGCGTCCGGTTTCTCCTATGTATGTTTTTTTGCAAAGTTTGCATACGAGAAAACCATAGAATGGACTGGGACAGCACAAGGATCATAAACACAGAACAACAAAAATACAAAAGATGGATTAAAGAAGAAGAAGAAGAAAATATCATTTCTATAGCGCCTCTCAAGATAAAAAATCACGAGGCGCTTCACAAAAACAAAAAATATAAAAAAAATGTAAAAATATAAAAAAGCATTTTGAAAATGTTTGAAAATATATTTAAAAAGAGCAAAAATGAGCAATTGCGATTTAAAAGAAAAAATGTTAAGAAAGAGAGAGAGTGAATTGGAAAGAGGGAAATCTGTGGATCCTGAGGAAGGTGGAATAGGTGGGGAAAGCAGAATAAAGAGAGAGTGGTGAAGAAGGTCATACAATAGCCAGCTTGAACAAGTGAGTCTTCAGCTGCTTTTTGAAGGAGACCACTGAGTCCACTCATCTCAGGCTAGGGGGAGAGAGTTCCAGAGTCTGGGGGCCACAGCAGCAAATGATCTGTCACCTTTGGTCTTTAGCCTGGTGCGCTGCACAACCAGTAGGCTTTGGTCACTGGACCTCAGGGACCTGCTGGGGGTGTAGGGACTAACCCCAAAATTCCACTCCCTCCGCCCTCGCCTTCTGCAGCCGCTCGCTTCCGAACTCAATTTTTACTGGTAACCGCTCTACAACAGCTCTGCTCCGGTGCGGAGACCTGAGGTGCGCAAACAGGCATGCGCGGGACTTTCGAGATCTTGCGATACAGTCCAAGCAATAAACACAGAAGTTAGATCCAAACACCCGTTGTGTGGGAGAAGCATTGAAATGAACTGTTTAATCTGCCCATCATTTGTGTTGAGAGATCAGCAGTGTTTGGATCAACAAAGTGTGACTACTTTGATAGTGGAAACTGTATCTATGGCTTACTTTTGTGCATTTAAACTTCAGCCGCCACTGATAGTTGTTAAAAGTTGTTAAACCTGTGCATATGAAACAAAAAACGCCTTTTGTTTATCGATTTATTGTGAAATAATGGAAGCTGTGCTTGCTCCCTTTCCTGTTGGGCGGTTGTGATTTCTGTCCATTGACTGCGGAGGTGCTCCGGCGTCCGGCAAAAATAGAATCGATCCTATTTTTGCTGGACGGCGGAACGGCGGGCGGCACACTGCGCCGCACGGCCGCAGTAGTGGAACAGCTCTGACTGACTACAACGGGACCGATTTTGCTGCGGAGTTCGTGCCGGAGTGGAGCACAGCGGAGCGGAGGTAGTGGAATTTTGGGGTTAGAAGATCACCAATGTAAGATGGTGCTTGTCCATGTAAGGCCCTAAAGACCAGAACCAGGATCTTGAAATGAACCCTGAAGTTGACTGGCAGCCAGTTAAGCTGGAGGAGAAGCGGGGTGATGTGGGTGTGTTTGGAGGACTTGGTCAGAAGCCGAGCACAGGCATTCTGAACCACCTGTAGACGGTTCAGGGAGGTTCTGCTCAGACACGTGAAAAGAGAGTTACAGTAGTCTAAGTGTGAGGAGATGAAGGTGTGGATAACTGTCTCAAGTTCAGAGCGAGACAGAATGGGACTCAGCTTAGCAATGTTCCTGAGATGGAAGAAGGAAGAGCGAACAAGAGAACTGACATGAGAATCCAGGGTGAGAGCTGGGTCAAAGGTCGCACCAAGATTCCTGACAGAAGGTTTGGTGTGGGAAGCAAGCTGACCAAGAGAGTCTCTGACTTTGGGAACCAGCTTGTCTGGGGCACAGATGAGGATCTCAGTCTTATCTTCATTCAGCTGAAGAAAGCTCCCAGCATCCAGGTTTTGATAGAGTTTAAGCAGGTGTGTAACAGCTGCAGCTTAGACATCTCATGGGGCTTAAAGGAGATGTACGGTTGGATGTCATCTGCATAAAGATGGTAGGAGATTCCTTTGAAGGAGCTCAGGATGTGCTGAAGAGGAAGCAGATAGAGGAGGAAGAGCAGAGGCCCCAGCACAGAACCTTGTGGGACACCATGGGTAAGAGAGGTGGTGGAGGACCTAAACTTGGAGACGGCCACAGAAAAGGAGCGCTCAGAGAGATAAGAGGAGAACCACTCCAGAGCAGATCCTGATAGGCCTACCCAGCCTCTCAGCCTCTCCAGTAGCAGGTGATGGTCAACAGTGTCAAAGGCTGCAGTCAGGTCCAGCAGGACCAGAACAGAACAGTCCCCTGCATCACTGTGAGTCAGAAGGTCATTAGAGACCCTAAGAAGAGCTGTTTCAGTAGAATGAGCTCTACGAAAACCTGACTGGATCATAGATGTTATGTTCATCAAGAGCAGCTGTGAGTTGTTTAGCCACAACCTTTTCCAAGATCTTGGAGATGAACGGAAGTTTAGAGATGGGTCTGAAGCT